TCTATAACTTTTTTTTTAATAATATGTCTAGTTCTACATTATAATGAGAAAAAGAAGTGTTACCCAGAAGAATCCATTTCCTTGGGGACAAAAAGAAGGAAAGAGAAAGGAAGAGAGCGAGACAGGGAGAGGGGGGGGGGGAGAGAGAGAGAGAGAGAGAGGGAGAGAGAGAAAGCCCACCTCAAGTCTTTGTCTCTTTCTAATTGAAAAAAAAAATAAGCGTTAATAGTAGTTATCACTTCAAAACATCACTAATAAATTCAGTCTAATTACAGATGCTACTGCCCTTGGAGGTAGTAGCATTTTTCACYTGCAGGGCACACAGCTTATTTTTAAGGAACACATTTGAATGAGCCTTTAACAGCAAAGATCCCTGCACATGGCCTGGGTTGGTGAGGGCTCTATCACAGGATAGAGCTGATTTTTATTTTCCTTATAAAGGAGCAAGAATTTTACCTTAGCCAGAGGTAAACAAGTGTTGACAAACATCATCAGACACTTGGAGGACATCTCGGCAGAATGGCTAATGACTAATTTCCTGGGAAGAGGACCAAAGATGGCTAGGACTTTGGTGTCAACTTGATTTTTGACAAATATCTAGAATCAGGATTATGTTAGATCATAAAATTACATGGGAAATCTTTCTTCATCATCTATTTTCTGTAAGAGTTTGGATAGGATAAACATTATTTCTTTCTTATATGTTTGATACATTCATCATTAAACCCATCTGGGCTTGAGGTTTTCTTTGTGGGAAGGTTTTCTAATTATAAATTTATAAGTTATCCATATTTTCTATTTCTGAATGTGTTARTTTTGATAAGTTATTCTGTCCATAAGTTTGTTGATATCATTTTTCAAACTCATTGAAATATAACTATTCAATTTTTTTTTCATTTTAGTCTTTAAATTTCTACAGAATCTGTGGGTRTATCTCTTCTGTCTAAACTGATCTTGGTAAATAGTATTATTTCTTCTTTTTTCTTGATCAATCCTACTAATAGATTGTCATTTTATCGTTCTCTTCAAAYAACCAGCTATGAGATCACAGACATAGTTAAACTTCTCTTCTTTTTCTTATATCACTGATTTTCAATTTTCCTTCTGTTCTAGTATCAATTAAATACTTTTTTTGAGTTACCCATAAATATTTGCTGTGTTTTCTTTTTTATGCCCTTCAAAATATTTTTTTTTTAATTTTTCATAATTTCACATTTGATTTGTGGATTTTTAGAATTGCCAGCCTCGTTTCCAAATACTTAAAAATTACATACAGACCTTAATACTGCATTTTTCATATTACTGTTGTCTTTGCAATGGGAGAACCACTGTATGCATTGTTTCAGCCAAYGGACACTTATTGAGACTTCTTATGAGCTAAAATATAATTTTGATCATTGTTTTCTGTGCCTTTGAAGAGAGCACATATTTTGTAGTTTTGAATGTAATGTCCTACACACGTCAGTTAGAAATGTTGGTTATAGCATTGTCCAGATCTTTTATTTTTATTCTCTCATGTGTATATTTTTCTCCATCAGAAGTAAAAAACAAAACAAAACAAAACAAAAGAGTGTTACACTCCCCACCTGTTTGTCGATTCATCAATTTCTACCTTTAATATCACTAAGTTGTGCTTCATGTGTTCTAAAACTATGTTATTTGGTATGGTGTAGGTTTGTTATGTGTATTTGATACACTGACCCTGATATGATAATAAACCATCTCTTTTTTTCCTGTAATAATATCCTATGACTTGAAGTCTACTTTATTTTTAGTTATTTATTTTTTTTGAAGTGTGTTATTTCTGATATTATTATGATCACAGAGAATTTCTYCTAATTGGTGATTAAAAACATCTATTTTCATTTTTTAAAATTTCAACATATGTATATATTTATATTTAAATTTATTTCATATAAATAGCATTGGGTACTTTTTTTTTTTAAACTCCAATGCACTAATCTCTGTCTTTAATTGGAGTGTTTAGTGTATTTACACTTCATATGGTTTTTGATATGGTTTGGTTTTAATCTGCCATATTATTATTTGTTTTTTGTTTGTACCATCTGCTTTGAAGCTTCTCAATGCTCTCACTGTTTGCATTATTTATTTTTTATATGGGTGACTCTAGGGCAGTGACTATCAAGCTTTTGGGCCCCAGTATTCTTTTTTTTTTTTTTTTTTTTTTACTTTTAAAAGTTAATGAGTATCACAAAGAGCTTTTGTTTATGTAGATTACATTCATCAATATTTATCTTATTAGAAATTAAAATGAGGCATTTTTTAAAACACAAGAGCACAACAGCACCATTAGAATTTAAGCATTGCAAGGATCTCTGTGTCCATGATCACCTGCCTGTGGGACTGCTCACTGCCTTTCAGGTAATCCAGGACTGTTCTTATTCCACAGATGCAAACTGTTAGTCAAAGAGCCCTGTGGAGTATAAATTGACTGTGTATAGGCCATGTTTATCATTGAAATAACTCCAAATCCATAGACATGATATAGAAACTACTCTGAATTTTAGTTTTTGCAGAAGTATTCACTACTCCATAATGTGTTAGGGGCAAAAATTAAGGTATAAGATAGTTTCTGTTAATCAGTCCAAGCAGCAATTACAAGAAATGCCATATGAACTCTAGGAGAGATGGAGATGGAGAACTCTAGAAAGTTGATATGCATACAAGTACCCATGGTCGAGGAATTTCTTGCATAATGGAATGAAGTCTGGAAGAGTGGCAAGGCAGTTGGGTTTGTCAAGAGTCCTTAACCCTACTCTACTTTTTTGATTAGATCTCTTACAGATTCCAGTTGAGGTTGAACTAGCCAGGGCAATATTAAGGAAGGAGATCAACAGAAAGTTTTTAGGATGCTCTTCTTGTAGTCATCTGTCTTTTTAATAACCACAAATTCTTAGTTAACGATGAATGACATTTGAATGAGTAATAATTGGAGTAATAAAATGAGTAACTAGGACTACTATGCCCATTTTTCTTAAACTTGTACCCAAAGAAATCAGGAAAAAAAAAAAGCCCTTTCAATGTGTACATTGATGATAGAAAAGYAGTTATGAAAAGCAGTTCAAATAAAAATAAGCACGTGTAGTGTTGGGAAACCAGATTTGTATGGAACAAATGACTGGTGCTGTTGATTAGTTTTTATCACTTTGTAGAGTTGTTTCATAGTCAACCTGAGTTACCAGGTATGACGTGCAGAAATAGTCCTTAGCAGTCTAYAAACACACACTACTCTTATTACTAGCAAAGCTGGCCCTGGTATGCTACTGYATGTGCACTCAGCAGGGTTAAGTGATTGGCTGATGGCCCACAATAAGCACCAGAGTCAAGTTTGAACTAAAGACTTAGGATCTGAAATTTAGTTTTTAAACACAYTATGATGCCAATCCTATAGCACAAATTTTCTCTGGTCCAATTTATCCCAATTCAGTTAATATGGAAGAAAATAGAATATAATTTTTACCCAGTAAAAGAAAAACATAATTTAAAATGATCATTCAAATCACAAGTTAGAAAATGCTAGAGTTTGGACATGCTATTCCTATTTATTATTCATCATTCTTATTCATAAGATTTGCATTTTCTAAATACTTAATAATCTGCATTTATAAATTATACCCAGACATATTTAAATTTTTTTCATTTTTGATAGATCTTTTATTTATTTATTTGTTTATATGTGGTGCTGAGGATCGAACCCAGTGCCTCACACATCCAGGTAAATGTGCTACCACTGAGCCCCAGCCCCAGCCCCAGCCCTGCCAGACATATATTTAAGAAAGATTTTTCTGTCTTAGAAAATTAGTGATAAAATGAAGTCAATAACACAAACATTTTAGGTAGATTTTAGCACCTATATCATACATAGTGAAAATTGTGAAACTCAGATTGAAAATGTCATTCTGGTTTCTGAATACATTTACCAATGTGAGAAAATATTGACAAGTTCTAATTTAAGGTTATTAGAGTACAGAAAGAGTAGTCCCTTTTGGATGTTCTAGAAAAATCCTTATWGATTTTTTTTGCTGTTCATCTGAATCAAACAAACATTGTTATCATATGGACTTCAGTGGAGTATAACAATTCTAAAAGGATATGTGCTGGTCAAGATAAATTTTATAAGAGCTAAGCTGCAAAATCAAGTAGGAGACAGTCATATTATTTAAAATCTGAAATTGTCATAAGACTTTAGAAAAATTTTCACAAACATACTTGGTAATGAGATACCTAAAAAATTAAGAATTTCATTCTCATACTTTCTGAAATTATTCTGCTTTTTTTCTCTAGTGAAAATAGTGCTAATTAATAAGTTTTAAGAACCACAACTAAAAATTTAACACATGTTGCTTTCACATCTGTGTGACAATCAGAAGACATCTTTGCTGGAGGCACAACAAAAATTATATAGTCTTCTGACAGTTCTAGATAGACAGAAATAGCACGTGTGTCATGCTGCAATAAGACAACTGACCTCTGATCAGGATTTCAAAACAGAAGTCACTGCACTAATGTTTTTATGTTAACAAACATATGGTTCACTTACATGTAAAAGGACTTCATTCCTTGTCAGTCTCTCCCACTTTAAACACAAAAAGTTTAAAATCACTTTTCACTTAGCATTTGGGACTGAGGTCACTGTGACATTATGTCTTTTTAAAATGGACATGAGGACAAGAGGATGCTCAAGAAGCCAAGTACTACTTCAACATAATGAACAAAACCGTAAGGAAATTATTTTGAAGTTCCTTCATTATTAGCATGCTCCTAGGATCATTCTTTCCTGAATGGCACCCAAATACATTTTTTATTGGTATTTTATTTGGAATGCTTTATTTATATACACACACACCCATGCACACACACACACACACACACACACACACACACACACATGAATTATAATATAAAATAGCAATTCGTTGTTACAATAGTTATTTATAAGTGGACTCTATTCAAAGTCTTTCAAGGCATGATACACTCACCTTAGAGAGGCCACCTACTTCCAAATAAAAGCAGATAATGAACACATTCCAGGTGATCCAGAGGGCAGTCCACACTGTATACTGGATAGAAGGGGGAGGGAGAAAGAGAAGAAAAATGGAGATGAAAGGCATGTATACTAAATAAATCAATAGTAAAGATGTCAGTAAGTTTCAGTCCACTGGAGACAAACAGGCAGGGAATACTCAGAAAAGAGTGCTCACTATAAAGTCCCCTGAGATCTAGAAATTAAAAATCCAATAGTTCTATGGCTTTCAGTAGATGACAATAAACCTAGATTTATTTTTAAAGTGCTTTGCTGGCTTGCAGGTACACGTTCAATTCAAGTGCTCACTCAATTTGTTTTCTGAGTATTATCTTTTCCAGAGAACACAATTATGCAAAGTTGTCCTTAAGTTATAATATTAAACTCATACATTTTTAGAAATGTTAGTCAAAGCCTAGAGCTTTTATGAGCCTGGATGAAAACCATGCTTGAAAATGGATCAAATTAACATATTTTTATTCATTGGATTATTTTATTAAGAATAGATCATGTGCATCTATAATTATATAGTAAAAACATGATCATACAATTTTTAAAAAAACACAACAATTGAAATGAGGGTAAAAACAAGACAATGAACACTGTTTTTCCATACTAGAGAAAATCTTTTATTTACCKCCAACAAATTCCAACTTTATTGATTAACTGATTTACTGATAAGATGATTTTGTATTCTGTTATGTACTAGGAAATACCTTCACCCAGAGCATGAGTCAATCTTATATAGCTGTAGATAGGTCTYATCAATGGAGAGAGTCCTAGGATGTACCTCATCCCTCAGTTTCTTATGCAAACATAGAAAATCAGAAAATTGACTTTTAGAAAACTATTTGGGTAACCGAGGACACTCATACCATAGAACACAATTATAATATTTTGCCTATTCATTTTACTTTACCAGAAAAGTCTCAGAATTCTTAATTCTTTAAATGGGCACATTAATTAAATTATTAATTTTTATGAGTGACCACAATAGTTGCATGCTTTTCACAAATTAAAATGAATATTGAAATCACTCTGTGAGCCATGGAATGTTTAATTTTAGATGGTATAAAATAGACATGTTCCTCTTAGAAATCTTATCCAAAGCATCTATTTATTTGTAAAATACAATTTAGATTTTATGTATTTCTGTTATTTATTTATTTTTGGTACTGTGGATTGAACCCAGGAACACCTTATTACCGAGCTAAATCTCTGAGTCTTTAAATTTTTTTTTTTTTTTATTCTGAGACAGGTTTTTAAAGACTGGGCCTCACCAAGTTGTTGAGGCTGGCCTCAAACTTGAGATCTTCCTGACTCAGCCTCCTAAATCACTGAAAGAATGCATTACCACACCTGACTTTATGATTTTTTAAAGACTTGCAAAATAATCTATAATTGGATATAATTATACTTCTATAATTGGATATATTTGATGTCACATTGTACTTCCTTGGTGGGGGTGTTTTGCTTTTATTTTTAAAGGATAATGCAATTATATAATGAGTCAAAACTTCAAAAGCAATGGGAATTTATGCTAAAAGCAAGTTAAAAATTATCATAAGTAAAAATATATTGTGAGGTTTTAAGTATTTGAAGATATTGCTGATGCTGAAATATCTTCTTTTCAGAAAGATAACTAGTCTGAACAGTTTTTAAAAATGTGCAACATGCATTGAAACACACTTTTCTGAACCACAAAATATTCCCATGAATACTGAAAATAGCTACTCTGCATCCTTAATGTTTATTTTTTTTGCAAGTCACAATAACTAGAACAAATTTTACTRCTTTTGCTAATTGGATGGCATCTAGTCCTGATAGATGCATTCTACATAAATATAWATGTGTTGGAACATAGCTGACCAATAAGTTATGAGAAAAAGGCCAATGATAAGAATTAAGAAAAGCATATCAAATAAAGCAAGACAATGTACTAAAGTAAGAAAGTAAGGACATGAACCCAAATCGTTACATATCCATATGATTCTTAATTATGGGAATTCAAATCTAAATGCATAATTATTGCATTAGGAAAATCAACCAGTGCAAAGTTACAACAAAGGCACAATAAAACAAATCTATTTAAAAATTATAGCACAAACTCAGTGATGGAAGTGACTCACAAGCTATCACGTGCAGTTTCTGAACTTTGATAGATAAAACTACCAGGCTAAGTAGATGGTAACTGTCAGCTCAACATGTTTAACTACATCAGGGTTATTATTCTGGGACTCTCTGTGCTCCTATTCTGTGCTATGCACTTTACATGGTTCCCAGTCTTCACACTAAACCCAGGTAGAGAGGTCATCATTTGATTCCCTACTGGGTGTCAAGAGTTGGCATGTGAAACCTGATTGGCTCCAGAGCTGAGATTCCTAAGCCCCACCTGGTAGGCTTTCTTTAAAAAAATCTTAGAAAAATGACTAAAGGTTAATTGTAAGCTAAACTTTAACCAAATTCAGCACTTCATCAAATGGAAAATTCACCAATTACCGGTTAAAAAAAAATGTATTTTATTCTTTTAAGTCCTATAGGTGGTAATGTTTGGAGAATGACTAGGATATTTTGTGTTTTGCTATCTATGTAGCATGCATCATATGAACACCAAGGGTTCTTTGGTTTCTTTTTAATGATATTGTAGTTTCTTCTAATGCATTTTTTGTTGAGGACAAAGGATATATTATTGAATTTTGGACTGTTATGAGACATAAACTGTATACTTTGACATGCACTTGTGACACCAGTTTGATCACAATCATATGGGAAAAGAGATCTCTAGCAATATAAATAGATGCATAGGAATTTACCTAGCATAGATATTAGGGGAACTCATGGCCTAAGATGTGCAATCCCCTGTCTTCTTTTTGAGGTGGGTAATTTTATTAATAATTCAATTTAAATGAGAATTAAAAGATAAGACTCTTCATTTTTGACAAATACTCCATTATGGAGTTTGTTGATATATTCATTTATTTTTTTGCAAGTCACAGATAGCTTAGGTATACTTGGTAAATAAAAGTCTTAAATTTTCCAAATAACTCTGCATGATCTCTGTCTCTGTCAGTCTGCCTCTCTGTTTCTTGCTCTCTCTTCTACTTTTGTTATGTTTAGTAAACATATTTTAAATCCTAACTCACGTTGACCATGCTGTGAAGATTAATAAAGAATGTTCATATGTTCTATGTGGCTTCCTAAATATTTCCTTCCTAGTTTTATGAGGACATTTCAGTACTTTTTAATTGACACGAACTTTAGAAGTCTTTTATTCTTTCATTGAGCAATTAGTTTATAACATGAGTTATTTTTATGGTCTGAGTTTCCTCATTTTCCAATGATCAGAAAGGCCATCTGGTCATTCATTCTTTCACACGTGTATCCATCAGTCACAGTATTTACGCACAATATGCTAGAGTTACAATAAAAAGTAGTGTAATATCCTTAGTATTTAGTTTAGTATTCATGTTCAGAAGAACATTAAGAGAAACTACCATCCATACATTTTTAATGGCAAGGAAAGCAGAGCTAAGGCCAAGAACAAAAAAAGACATATTAACAGTTTAATAATTCATCAAGTCTTACTCTATATTAGGCTATGGTAAGCAAGTCATATATATTATAGCATTTTAAAAAATGATCTGTGATCAGATTTCTACAAATGAGATATGTGTGGCAAAAAAGAAAACAAATAAATATCCTAAGGCTTCAYAGCCAATAGTTTGTGGAGGGGATTTAAATCCATGACGAACTGAATTGAAACTTAACACCCAACTGTCATATTGAGCAGAAGCTCAGGGGAGATATTTATGATGATGTGGTAGAAAAGGTTTGTTATATAACAATTCAAATYAAAGTCAGTTGTTGTTCATTGCACATGAATTTTGCATAAAGGTCCAAAGAACTAAATTATGGTCTTCATAAATGTATTGGCTTTTTAATTTTTAAAGTCAGCTTTGAATTAAATCTAACTCCAAAGTTAATCTTTTTTGTCTAAAAAAAAATGTGAAATCAATTAGCTAACTCATCTGCCTTTAAATTAGTGAGYTTGATTAAATTAACTCATCCATGAAATAATAAAAATTTAAATAATTCTAGGGCAGACCCTTCTGTTGGAATTCAGAGACAAATTTTGAAATATTTGGCATAGGCATAGACAGGAAACAAATGATTCTACAACAGAACATATGTTGACAAATATGGTCTCACAGCTTCATACTGTCTTTAATCAAAGAAACACAAAAGGTGTATTCAAACCTTCACTGAACTTGGTATCTCTTAGGGGTATCCCCAGGGGATACCAAGTGAAGGAGAAAAATATGACAAAGTTATTTCTGTGCTCTGAAAATAAATATAGAAAGAGTGAACTGCACCTTTTAAGCAGTGAGGGTATCTGGAGTGGACTTATTGCTCTTTCATTTGGTGATTTGGTTGGCTTTTTCTAACAGTCTTTGATGTCTTTGATTATACTGGCAAAAGACCATGATGTTATATTTCTCAGAAGAATAGGTCTTGAGGAGTAAGTTAGCGAATAGTAGGGACAGGTAGGACAGCACACACTATTTTGTCATCTAATTCCTCAACTGTTTTCTGATTGAGATAAGCAAAGCAGTGAGGCCGATTTCTCTTGCTGAACAATTGCCATCATGTTCTAAGAAATATATGTCTAGGGCATTTTTAAAGTCACTGAACCCAATCACCTTAAATTCACTTATGATGTGTCCAGTCAAGGATAAAGCATTTTAAAAAGTCTCTACGTGCAGGAATACATCTTGAATATAACAAGGGGTAGGCACAGTCCTTTCTTCCAGGAGTTCACCGCTGCATGCAGTGAGACTGGCAGGGAGACAATGAAAACTAGTGGGGGATCAGGGTAGAGAGTCATCAGGATCTGCCGCAGTAGGGAGCACAAGGCACTCAGCCCTGAGTGGGGTGCTTAGGTAAGGCTTTTAGTGGGTGACAATTCAGTTGAAGAATTATTAAATGTTTTCCAAGAGGGCAAGGAGAATATCCCAGGCAGAAGGTTTAGTATGTGTGAACTGAAGAGGCAGAGAGCATGTGGTCTTTGGAAACAGCAAATCCTTAAGCATGCCTGGCATAAGGGAGGCCCATGGAGAGTAGGTACAGCATAGGTAAGCAAAGGGGCAATTTTAATAAGCTTTGGTCTCCACTCTAAGGAGTTTGGAAATTTGCCTATAGACATCGCAGTTCTTGTTCTGCATTGTCCTTTATCTAGACCATTTTCACAGTGCTAACTAACTCTTTGGATTCAAGTGTGGCAAACCCAATTTTTGTCAGAAGTGGCAGCAACTTCCAACCTATGTTTTGCAAATCTACACTGTAAGTTCCACTGAATTATTTCAGAGACAGACATCATATTTCATTCATCTCTAGGTGAGCACTTAGGACATACCTGATGCATCAAACTGTTAGTTTGAAGGGATGAAATTTAATTGGCATGATTGGTATTTGYTTCAGCCAATATTAAGACTAGCAGAAGTGACTTGGGGAAAAAATCTGTAATCAAAAAGCTCTTTCCCTGCTAAGTGAAGTCAGTGTGGATTTCTGATCCAGGTGTCTTCTCACTGCTATTGAAAAATTGGTGCCTCCCGAGACACGCCTTGGTTAGTGTGACATATGCTGCATTCAATTTCAGTCTTTTTTTTAATACTAGAATTAATTCCAGGCCAGCAGTAGTATCAAACCAAAGTATTCATGAATACAACCCAAGAATAGCTGCCTATCGTGTGCTAAAACAAAATAAATATAATGTAATCACCTTCCCAAATAACAACATGGCCTTCACGTAAAGAGAATCCCTTGCAGAAAGATTTTCCATATTATTGATTACTGATTCTTCAGGCATTTTTCTCAAATAGAAAATGTATAGATGGATGCCTACAAAGGCAATAATATTTGACAATTGACTGAGGAAGCAGGGCAGAATAATTTCCTAGGTCAAAACTTCTGCTGACAATGGCAAGATATCATCTGAGTTCTGGTGGTAGAAGCAAAGCACAGATTATGCTAAAGCAACTTCATAATAAAATGAGGGAGGCCAATAGACATTCAGCTTTCTCCTTTGCTATTTGTGTTCCCTGGGCAAGGAAACYGTTTTAACCTTTTTCTTTATCTGTAAAATCAGAGATGCTAATACAGACCTCTTAGGGTACTTGAGAAGATTAAATAAAATGAAATGTTTGGCATGGAGGGCTTTCCTACCACTCAATATTTTCTTTCTCTTCCCTTCCTAGGAGAGAGTCTAAATAATAGCCAAGAAAATGAGATTTGGTTGGCAAATGCATTAAAAGAGGAAAATCAGAGGAGTAAAAATATGAATTGCTTATCTTTGCAGATGTTTCTCTTTGAGGATTCTGAAAGTCCTAAAACTGCCTTTCTCCTCACACATAAATGGAGCATGTGTTACATTTCACATTCTCAGTGAGCTCTTTGCCTGGTAGAGAGGGCTTGAATGCCAACAAATTATAACACACGCTCAAGACACAGAGACAAAGGAACAGAGAATGTTTAATCATGAAAGCACATGCAAGGACATGTGCATGAGAGACTGAAAGAACTTACTAGAACTGGGGCATGAACACCATGCAAGGCTGTGAGAGCAAGAGGGAGAGAGACGGGTCAGAGCAGAGGGAACATAAACAGAATACAACCTCTGGGCCTTTTCAAGGCTCTGCACTTGGTTACAGACTTTCCAGGCCTCTGCCTCATTGCTATTCTCATTCCACGTTCATGGCCATTCCACCACCTCCAGAGAGTCCAAGACTTTGTATCTCACTTCCTCATTCCCTTCAAAATGAACTCCTTGAAAGTAGGGACTGTAATTTGCACACTTGGCTAGCTATCCAGACCTAGTTCAATGCAGTACTCTATGAATGTCTGATGAGTGAGTGCCAATTACAGGTATTGAGCTCTTTCTTCACACTCAGTGATGCTTTCCACCCAGAAACCCCTTCAGCGTATTCTCTATGGACTCACACTCACTGGCACCAYAAGCACTTTTGCAGGACACCTTATTCTGTCACCCTGCCACGATCAGACTCCTCATTAGGCATCTCTGGCACAATGTGGTTCTCTGTATCGCTTGTCATAGTTATAGTTCAACATTTCTGCAGATCTCCCCCACTCAAATGTAAAATGAGCACCCAAGAAGGCCACAAATAATCTGTATATGTTCAACAGCATCCAAGACACCCCACACAATGCCAAACACCTAGTAGAGACTAAAGGAGTATTTTTTATAACCAAATAAATAACTGGGGGGGGGGGGAGGAACAAAGTTAGAAAACAAAGAAGAAAGGTAAGGATGAGTGAAGAAAGGTAGGAAGGAAGAAAGGTAAGTAGGGAAGGAAGGAGGAAGGAAGCGAGGGAGGGAGAGAGGACAGCCTTCAGAGATCTGAGTTTGGTAAAGTGCAATAGTCAAGAATATTCTTAGATTTTGGAACCAGGAAAGGTTTTTAAGCCATGAATCAGGTAAGTGAAAAAAAGACTCTGGAAAGACTGTGAACAAGCAGGAAATCCATGTATACAGAAAAGAAGGCTAGGCTATGGTTAAGTGAAGAGTATGAAGGGCTAACATGCAGGGGGCAGAAACAACAGGACTAGATAATATCTTTAACAGGTACATGCAACTTCATTCTATAGAAGCCCTTGGTTTCACAGTCAGCTGGCATTTGGGGCCTTAGCAGAACATGAACAACATAAAATTTAAAAAGTTGGTGGGTGGTAAAAGTGTTTGTATTCATAGAAACAAACTAGAACATATTTAGAACCCAATAATAGTTTGATATTCTGCATGACATTAAAGCATCTGGTGCTCTAAGTCTGACTCTAGGAAACATCTTTCTAGTAGATTACACAGTGGCTCAGCAGAGGCTATTCTTAAGAGAAGCAAAGTAAAGCAGAAATTGTTTAGCCCTGCAGCAAATTGAGTGATATCAAACCCTCTTGGGGCCATGTTGAATGCCAAGTCTGCCTGTGGGATAGTTATTTTCACCTCTTTGATACGATGGAAGATATAAAAAAAAAAGCCAATTTTGAGATTCAACACAGAACAAGTACATTTATAGGAAAAAAAAMAAAACCTTTTTTCCAACAAATTGGATTAGTAAAAATTGAAAGGTGGCTTATTTGTGTCACCTTCCCCCTGAAGTATGGCAACATTACTGCATTGCAGAAACTATTTACCAACTCTACTGAATTCTATACATTCATTCAGGCTCAATGATTACATTAGACTATGTTATTCCTATTTTCAATACCTTTATTATTATTACTCATCATTTTCCAACACCTGTTTATACATCTAGCCAACAATACTGCCTTCTTTTTATAGAAAAAGCAACKAGTTAAACTGAATAACTACCACTAGAGTGCGAAGAACAGCATGTACTTCATGAAATTGACCTGTAATGGAGCGTGGGCTGCCCATGTTCAGCATAGTGTGGAGTATGGATTTGTGCTTCYAATACATCTTGAAAATTGGAGAAAAATTCAATAATAAACTGTATGAAATATATGAGGAACATGCACTAAATTTTTCAGCACATGCATTTGAAATATCCTAAGTTAATTAAAATTATATTGTTTTCAGTGATTAAACAATTATGCTAAACAGGATTGGTTTCTAGGGCTAGTGACAGATGTCATTGAAGATAAATGACATCTTATTACACTGCTACATTAATAATTAACATACCCTACATCTCATAATAACAATGAGATCAAAATCAGTCTTTCCACTTTATCCAAACTCTATTTTAAGTGAGTCACACTAGATCATCCCAAACTTCAGGACATATTGCTTTGTTCTCACTGTAAAACATTCATCATGTTGTCTGTTCCACCGAGTAATATTTCTTAWCAGAATTGAACAGTTGAGGGCTAGAACAGCATAAATACATTTTATTAGATGGACCTCTATAAAATTATTTCATTCATCTTCTTATAGAAATCATGTAGTGTGCATATGAAGAGGCAGTGATAACAATAAGACTTACCACCATGATGTATCGAGGTCTGTACTGAATAGTTCCAAACAAACCCAATATGACCACTATTATATGTAGAAAATTTCCAAGAATAGGTGCCCACTGGAAGCCAAGGAAGTCAAAGATTTGTCTCTCTAATGCCGAGAGCTGCAACAAAGCAAAGGGAGTTCATGAGTAGCTTATCCAAGCATCATGTCACCATCTCAATCCTTATTTCACTGCTGGAGAGGYCGGCATCTTCAATCTCAACACTTGTAAGCATCATAACCACGAGCATTATTTTAATTAATTATTATTATTATTTTTTATAGTGCTGGGATTAAACTCATGGCCTCATGCATGCTTGGCAAGTGCCTCAACACGGAATCAACCCTTGTTGCTAGAGTTTTAATACCTATTTCATGTACTGTTTTATGCAACTTCTCTCAGGAAATATACTGAGATAACTTTCAATGTTATGGCTCCAAATGTAAATTTTGAACCTATCTAGAGAACTAAGAAATACTGGTTAAGTAGTTTTTTACAATAGAAAATCCAGACAAATAAGACTTAAATTCATCATTGTTTGTAATGAAATAATTGACTTAATATAACATACTTAGAGCAATAACCATAATGATATGACAGCTGGTATCATTTTGAAAACAAAACAAAACTCTTACTTAACTTTGCCTTCCTGTGTTAAATATATACTAACCAAACCTGTTTGGTTTCTTCTCCTTTCATTAGACTTCCAATAGTGATAATGACTATAGTAATCATCATTTTGAAAACGTGTTATTTACTTACCCTTGGCTCAAGACTAAAACCAGAGTTAAACATTCCCTTGGAAGTACATTTTACTAARTTTCTATACCTACATGAAAATTCAGACTAGGTGAAATCCTTTCTGGACACCCAAATAAATATTATGGAGCCATAACAATTTTAGAGACACCATAGTCTATTATATTTGCATTATATAGAATTGTATTTTAAAATAATTCTTCAGTACATCAACCTGTACACTTAAACCATTTACGATTAAATAGGCGAATTTCAGATAGTACAACGAATACCAACAATGTCAATTATCACAGACACATGGTAGTTCTTGTATTCTATGTCTAAATTTTTTACAATTCTACTTGCATACTTGAACATAATCTTATATGTTTGAGGCATTTTTCTAGATTTCCTTTGATAAAGTAGGAACTCTAATAAAATGATCCAGTGATTGATTAGCTATTCTGATGGCACYAGAAACTGCAGCTTTCAGATGAAAATGGCACCCTTGGTATTTTTCCAGTTCTGCGACAGGTGTATGCCTGAATAGCTTTAATTTCCTTGGACAGAAAGAAATGTCCTCCATCCTGTAAGCTGAATTTACCTTGTTTAAGTTGTGAAGGAAAAGAGAAAAGAACAAATGCCTAAGAGAACCACACCAAGTACCCATTCATTTTAGGAGTATTTTCTGATTGTGAAATGATTTGTCACYATCTCCTACATCTGCAAAATGCAAGGAAATGCTAAAACACAAAATAATCAGAGCAATGTCAGTAGCGGCACTGTGTTTTCAATCTCTTGCTCATATCTCCTTCTGACTCTAATTAGTTCCCAGGAAGCTTCCTTTTATTTATTGGCCCATCAATGATATAAATATGCACTGTTTTTTATGTCCAAACAGGACTGATGGGCTGAGAAAAAAAAAGCAACCCTGAAGAGCAGCCTTAGGCAATTCATTCTGAAACAGCTACCCTATTTTAAAGCTGTCGTGCATCACAAATCCTTTAAAGTGAACTTTTCAGAGGAAAACCCTTTCCTCTTTCTACCAGAGGATGCATGGAAAGTGCTCCCTTTTATGATATTAAAGGGACAACACATCATGAAAGGGAAGTCAAATTTTCAATCCCTGGTACCAAAAACAAAATGCTATTTATTAACATTTATTCTCTGAGAATTTAAAAAAATTGAATTCGAGCTGAGTCAAAAAAACAAAAAAAAGAGTGGAAAAAACAAAAACAAACGGTTATCAAATTTAGAAAGGGGATCTTACCAAGAATAAGACACAGGTCAGCTGCAACAACCATGCAAACCTACAACTACATTTGAACATTGTATTTAAAAAAAACAACTAACAACTATAATTAAAGAAAAAACTTCAAAAGTAAAATAYCATCATATTTTTATTAACTATTCCATCTAATTATCATCTTAAGCTGTTTAGTGGTTTATTTCACTGGTAAATATAAATACTTCCTGCTTGAATGCCACAATCTCTAGGGACACCACTTTTCAACTCTAGAGCATGTTATTAATAATAAAGTATGTTTCCTCTCATACATGGAAGCTAGAGAGGAAAAGGGAAAAGAAAGGTGTGGGGGAAATCTCATGAAAATCAAAAGGAGAACAGTAGGAATAAAGGAAATAGACCAGAGGGAGGGAGGTGGGGAGAAAAGGGGGAAATATTGGGCCAAATTATATTGTTATAACGTGTGCATGCATAATAGGTAACGATGAATCCCACCATTATGTATAATTATAAGCACCAATGACAATATGAAAAAACATGACCCAGAGTCACCAAATGAAATTGGATGATATCCAGGTCACTTTAACTCAGAAAAAGTATGAGAATAATTTATCAATTTTACTATCAAAATGGTTCTGATCCCTGGTGTGATGAAGCCCCCAGGAACTGGCTGGGAAGGTCATCATGTGCACTTCTTTCCAAGTCTTTGGTCAGTAATGTCAGATTGGGAATTTGATATTGGCCGTGATGGGAATATTTACAAAGTGGAAATTGGGAAATGCTAAAATCAGGACTTGTTTGGTTTGAGAACCTATTATTAAACCTTTGCTTGCACATGACTTGGGAAACAGTGGTTTGATTTGGGAGAGCATAGGAGGAAGTCTCCACATTGGTATGGCCTACCTAGGAAGTAACCCAATACAGAAGAGAACAGAAGGATGCAGGGTCCAGAGAAGGGTCTGAGGAGATGATACAGCAGGAAAAAGAATGTATGAGACACTGGAATTTTAAATACAGGTAGAAAAATCCAGAAAATGCAAAGGCAATAAAATACTCCAGGAAAGCAAAACCAACCAGACACCGATTTAAAACAGAACAAGAAGCACTGACTTAAATAACAATGCAATCATTTGTAAGTGAAAGCTAAGGTAGGTAAGAACCTGACAGCTATGAAGAATAGGATGGAAAAGTGTATGTCTCTTTTCCTACAGAGTTTTTTCTTTTTTTTTTTTTTTAAAGCATGCCTGTAATCCCAGTGGCTCAGGAGGCTGAGGTGAGTTCAAAGCCAGCCTCAGCAATGGCAAGGTGCTAAGCAACTCAGTGAGACCCTGTCTCTAAATAAAATATAAAATAGGGCTGGGGATGTGGCTCAGTGGTTTAGTGCCCCTGAGTTCAATCCCTGGTACCAAATAAACAAATAATTAAAAGACAATTGAAATCAGAATAAAAATACTGTAAAATACAGTATCTTACTGATACATCTATTATGATTAATGTTTCACACGGCATCTTGCATAATTGCTCATAATAGTTATTCCTAATTATGAAAACTAATTCACACTTAATTTTAAAGAGCTATAAAATCTCTGTCTGGGTGACCAAGCAGGTTCCTGAGCATTTACAGACTGAGTCTACAGGATTAGTTTCTGTCCAAGTAAAAGCCAAGCACGCAGGCTCATTCTTAATGACTAAGCAAGCGTCTTGGAAAGTCAGCCTCATGGGAAGAGAAGGGAGCTGCCTTCCCTCTCATTATTCTTGGACTTTTGCTCTACTCACTMGAGACAAATACAATGAAAAAGATCAAAACAGGGTCACTAGTGTCAGTAGAATCGTAAGAAAGCATTTGATCAAAACACAATCTCACAAAAGACTATGGAATTAAAGCATATTGCATGAGTTGGTACTCTCTTCTGTGTAACTTCTAGCTTGAGAATTCACATGGTAAATATTTTATAATCATGAAGTATTAATTCTTAAAGTTAAGATTTAAAAGCTCCAAGTAACATTTTTATTAGCTAAATTAATATTTCTTAGGCCATTTCTAGGAGGTTTTGGGTTGTTAAGGCAGGTTCTTTATGTATGCAAAATCTATAGGACCCTCAGCTCACCAATACTTATTTCCATTTCCATATCTTATCTACTCAATTTCCAAGGGCCTTATCATGCTTTATATTAGTAACATTCATCTTCTATGTATATATGTATGTCTATGCTAATGATGGTCTTATATTTTAAACTATAATTTGAGAATTTTATTTCATATCTCTGAGTTAAAAAAAGAGATCAATAGCATTTGCAATGTGACTCTATTTCCTATTGACATATCATGAAAGTTCTAACATGATATTTACCACTATGATAAAGCAGATACTATCCTGAAGAAGTTTTCATGTACCTATAGACAGCTAAATAAGCCTTAGGATGTATATGAACTTTGAGATGGATCCAGGAAATCCAGGTCTGGCTTACTTATATGGCTCATCCAATAATGACAATAATAGTATTAAAGTCTTCACTGCTTTGGCTTAGTTTTTTATTATTTTTGCTAGAGGTTAGACAGCAAAGTCTATGTCAGTGAAACCAGAAACCAATGAATCAGTGAAATGAATAAAGCTAGATAAAATTTAAAACAGTTTAATTTGTCATCTTCTTTTCCTATTGCTTGACTTTTAGAATCATCTCTGGTGGTCTAAATGGCCATGGTGCTTATAGAGGTAGAAATGAGGTAGAAATGTGGGTGCACAGAAGAGTAGAGTCTGTAATGCCAATTGTGTTTGCCTAAGTTGTTTTTGGAGCTAATTTGGTTAAGTGAAAAAAATTCTCTCTAAAATGTTTGTAAAAATTTCTTGAATTCTACCTCTATGTTTTCAGATCCTGTATCTCAAGAACATTTTCTAGTATTACACTTCAGTAATGAAGGTATAAACTTCAAGCAAATGGCATAGGATTTCAGAAAAGTGCTTTACATAGTGCTGCAAATCTATTTTTTGAAGAAATAAGGGACTGAGTGTATCATATCATGGAAATTTTCCTGTTGACAGAGGAATGGATGTTACATTGCAAATAGATTGATGGAGGCTGATGAGTTGGAAGAGTGCATGTGAAGGGCATCTATGTACCACAAATTCACTCAGAA